TCCACTCTGTGAAAGTCAATGTTATCATGAGGTCTCTACAGCTCATTGTGAATAAAATTCATCCATCAATCCTTAAGTCGCATCATGTAGGGTTCAGAGACTATCAGTAAATTAATTGTATGCCTAAATTTTTGAATATGCTAAGAAAAGTTGGGTTTTGAGGAATCCATTGTTTCATAATTGTTGAGCTTATTCCGATTTCGAGTTAAAGTGTAATGCTGTAATCCGGCTTTACTGGAACATTCCCATTTCCGCTGTTTCCGAAGTTATCTCCTTCGATTCAGATGAAAATATGCTGTGCTTTCGTCCGTCGTGTGTCGAACGCCATCAAAACAAGGTATCATCCTTACTTCTTGAGCTTACTTCCATTTTGAGTGAAAGTGTTTGGTGAGAGATTCGAAGGTCGGTTCCACCGGAAGACGACGGCGGATTCCTTCTGACCAGCTGTCGATTGACTTTACTGGAAGATTCATGCTAACGCTGTTTCTGAGGAAATCTCCTTCGATTCCGGTGAAAAGGTGCTAAGCTTTCGTCCGCCATATGACGGGCATCATCAAAGCGAGGTATCATCGTCATAACAAAATTCAATCTAACGAGTCAAGAAAACTCACGTTATGTACATAATCAAACACCTGCAGACACATACACACACAGACATGATTCGATGCTGGCATATGACTAGAACAAACCAAATTACTTCATATTTTATCAAAGAGCTCATATATAGCCTATATTAGCAACATTTTAGGGATTACTCTGTCAGCTTTCTTGCCACATCAGCTTGAATATGGTTGTCATACGACGAAAGAAAGCTTAACACTTTTTCACCGGAATCGAAAGAGATTACCTTGAAAAAAGCGTCTCCAAGACTGTTCCAATAGAGCCATTCGACAGCTGGTCAAGAGAAATCCGCGTTTGCCTTCTGGTGGGATCGGCATTCGAATCACATCACCAAATAAGTTCACTCGAACTGGAAGTAAGCTCAACAATGCATATTTAAACATTTTCTTCACTCAAATTCAAGCCCCAAAATGAAATTTACTTGTTTCTACTCAATTTTGAGCCGTACTCTTGTCATGCCCACAAGATACTCTGGGCCGGCATTGTTCGCATGCATGTGCATATGTATGTGCGTGAACTGTAATGTGTTCGTGAGATCTACTTACTTGATAATGGGAAGAGCTCAAGTATGTGCCCCTCGTTAAATCATTTTAAGTAAGTTATCCATTTTCGTCATCTTATATTAGTCCTAATGACCGATAAAATGTATATTTTTTATTTTTGTAGCTTTTAAATGTTTACATATTTTTTCATCTAAGCTTTTTATCATCCATTCTTCATGTATACTAAATGTCTTTGTCCTATGTTGTGTTTATTTTTTTATGAGCGAGTGTGTATGTGTGCGTAAAAATGTAATGTACTCGTGAGACCTATTTATCTCAATGTGGAAAAATTCAATTATCTGTCCTTTAGTGGCCTAGGCTAGATGGTATCTAATCCAACTTTTAACTGTTAATTTATTCTTAACTAAAATATTTATTATAATATTTTACCTTTATTCAACCCCAGAATAAAATATGCAATTGTGGGGATCATATGCATAATTATATCCTTTTTACAACTAGACTTACTTCCTGCGTACTAGATACCCTCAGACCTCTTTGTATGTGTGTGTTGTGACAAGGTGGCATAATTCTGGCATAATTCTCTTCAGTCTTTATCACAATCTAGAAAATGGGATTAAAAAGCTCATAAAAGTGTGCCCATTGGCGGTGTTGGTCTTGGCCACCGGAGGCTGATAGGTAAAAAGGATTTAATCACCTGACAACTGTCGACAGGTGGTCGACTTGAGGTGATCTCCTCGTCAGAACGGAGGTTCCTCGTCTTTTCGTGATTGCGATAGCTGCGTTCAAATGTCGGCGGCTGTTGCTGAGGCGCTGGTACCGACAGTACCGAGGGAACCAGGTCGATCGGACCAGTTGCCTTGACTGTAGGTACCAGTCGGTCCGGCTTTGTTGGTTCTTCTTCGGAGAGCCGAATAAGATGACGACGCTCAGGCGCCGGCCAGCGACTTGCAGTGGCTTTGGGATGCGATGATGGTACAGCCAGCTTCGGCAAAGCTCGACGAAAGACGGGAAGACTGAAAAGTTCAAGAGGATTCAGACATTCGCTGTTGCCGTTGACGTTGGCTTCGTCGCGTCTGTCATTCGATCGACCTATGGTCGTAAATCGAGAGCTTAGATTCTGAGACACTCTACTTCGCTCTGGATCCAGCCCGTTTCCAATTGGATGTTCTATAGGGAACATTACGAGGCTTTGGCCTCGGGGCAGACGGGTCACCAAATTACCAGGTGAGTGAGGCTCGAATGGCGTGTCACCGGGACCCGGAAATACCGGCGGCCTCTCGAAAATATGGAAAGAGAGAGAGTAAAAGAGTGAGAGGAAGAATGAGAGTAGATAATATAGAGGGAGCTGAACTGATTGTTTTGACGATTTGTATGGAATTTCGTGAACCATTATTATTTTATGCCTGACTTCATAATAGGTAAGGTAGATCAGAAGTTACCGATAAAAAGAAATTTAAACACTAGAAGGAGTGGATCTATTCTAGAGAAGATGAATTATATGGCAAAGTAGGAATACAAGAAAAAATCAAGATCTTTGCTTAAATCTCTGGTGATAATACTATGACAGATTGGGTTCAAATGAAAACATGATGATAAAAAAATAACGAATACTTATTTCAACTATGGCGGAATATGTGAGGACCAAAATGACGTGTGAGACTATCCTACCAGCACCAAAATGTACCGATAAGCGTAAATGAAGTTATGCTAATGTTCTGATGACGAATGTGTGTACGAATGGAGTTGTGAGCGTGCGGATAGTAAATGCTAGGCTGACTTGAAATTGAAACGCAAAAATGGCAATCATTAGGCCAATCTCAGGCTTTGATTTAGATCAAAAGGTGTGTTTTTGTGGGTCAAAGGTGCAGAGGCGCCTAGGTGAAGCAAGGTCACGATTTACTACTCAATCGGTTTTTGAGTGATTTTAAATGCTTTCTTTCGCCCTGTACTACTATAGTTCTCAAAAGTTGGCTTTAACCGCATGAGAGAAGGTAAGTAAAGAGGCTAATAGGAGGTGTCTAGGCGCCTAACATTCAAGAATAAAATAAAAATAACTGATAATTGATTAGGTCGTTGAGAGTATAAAAGTTCAGTGAAAAGCAGTAGATATTCTAGGTTAAAAGATTATTAGGGTACTTTTAATTCCAGGGGGGAGAAATTATGAGCTCATCAGCACAGTCATCAATGCAGCAATGCAAATTGCCAAACAGCACATATACTCATGGTTACAAATAAGCAATATAGATGTCTCGAAACTCTACTCAAATACAAATAAGTAGAGTATATATGTACTGGGTGAAACAAGGTTGCAATTTGTTACAATATAATCTTTTGAGTGATTTTTATTTTTCAACTCCGATTTATTCTTGCCTTCAGCTTTCATCCACTTGGTTGTCTTCAAATATCAGTTACTACTGCATGAGAGTATAGAAGAACATAGGTTAATAATAGGCTAATAAAGTCAGTTTTGCTGTCAAGGTAACTGGAGACATGTGACCCAACATCCACACTTAAGGGGTTATATTGCTCATATATCTGCTCATATATTTTGATTCCAGTTCGATTTCTCCTTTTTCACCCCCTTCATAAAGTCCCTGTTATCTCGCATAGACACATGCATAGACAGGCATAGACACACATATATAAATGTATATGTGGGTATTTGGATTGAATTGGTAGCTTCAACCAACCTGATCAACACTTTTTTCCGACAGATGTTTGCTTTTTGATCTAAGCCAGGCAAAACTTCCCATCTCTGGAGCGTAAGAAAAAGAGTTGTTCTTCTTCACCAGCACCACACTGTCAGGCTGCGGCAAGCGTAAATCCGCTCTGCCAGAAGCGTTTATCGGTCTGGTGATGGAGCCTCTCGGCGCAGTGTCAATCGCCTTGCCAAGTCCATTAGAACCGGTCAAACTGGCGGCGGGTAGGACGTTTGTGGAGTGAGGATTACCGTTGGTTGCCCGATCGCAGAGTTCTGTCATAAAATGCGATCGCCGAGGCTTCCGTATCTCTGACCTATGGTTGGACTGGGGTAAAATGGCCGTTTGACTTGGCCAGGCCAACCCGGGAGCAATTAGCCGGCCATATTTCCCGGTGGAGTGAGTGAGATCGGTGTCCACAAGTCCAGCTCGAAGTAGGTGGGGCCCAGGAGGATGGAGACCATTTATGGATTCTCGTGAAGAATGCTATCATCATCAGTGAAGTAGATATTTAAAAAAAAATATAATTTAGGCATGGGCGTAGATAGTAAGTAGGTAGCTAGCTAATCGGAAACTATTTATAAATAAATAAATATATAAATAAATATAATTATATTTCTAAAGTAGGTTTTTGTTCTCCTCTCTTATATTATATAAATATTATATATTATTATCATGAAGAATAAGGGAATATATACAGTTTGGATTCTATACTCCTAGGATAATCTTATTTTGACTTATCCATTATTAAATTTAAGAAATCTGAATTAAATTTGTTTGTCGATATTATATGCAATAGGTATATAGGAAATAAATGAGGGATTAAGTATAAACTAACCGTA